TCAAATAATACTAACTACAGCACAGATACGTATAACGTGAGTAGCCGGCTAGCCGACATCTGTCCTGAACCGTGAAGCTGAAAGTTCTGGCCCACATCACATTCGTTTTGATCAAACATGTCGGTTATAGCTTTAGCCTAAATATAGCCATCAGTTTCACAGTGCAAATATCGTCACGACGCTTTATCACGCCTATGTGTGAGTGCTGAAAAGCTATGAAAAAGCCAAGGCAAATATACCACTGAACTCTGGGTTGAGATGAAATGGTGTCCTGTTGGTGTGAAAACTTACACGGAAAGGAAAGGTGCGAGCTTGAATAAAGCCTCAGGTAAAGGGTTTTGCACACAATCCAGCATCCTTACAACAATGGCACTGTTCGCCGAACGATGTCAAATATTGCTACTTATTAACTCCAAAGTAACTCACTGCAAACGGCTCATATGTGCTTTTGAATTCCCTTCTCTTCCCACCAAATTCTGCATAAAACTCTTCCGGCATATCAAAATGGGAATGGTACTGTTTTCTTTGCCTAAACTGCTGTTCAAAATTTGAAAAGCATAATGTTCTTGGTAAAATTTCGTTAAATTACAGCCGACACGATGCCGTAGCTGTCTCACCAAATTGGATTTAAGACTGACGCTGATCTGCAGTTAATGGTTTTGAAAAAAACTTGCCTGTTGGTACGCTGGAAATGCTCAAAGCTCTTGTAATCTATATCGATATCTGTGTAGCTCTTTGTCGGAGCAGACGTTGAAGCTCGACGAGGATATGAGCTACTGAAACAGAAACTGACAGTGTACCACATCAAGATTAAATTTGCGTTTCATGAAGTGAAGCAAAAAGTTTAGGGACCATTTCTAGTAATAAGTAATACGCCTATTTCCTGTTATTCTGCCCCTCTCTACGACAAGATTGGACTTTAGACTTACCATAAGCACAAAGAGGGAGGGGACTGTACGATGGGTGAGCCATTTGATTTAAGGCAATAGTTGGAGAATGAAGTCATGAATGATCATAACTCATAAATTGAAGTTCATCGGGAATCGACATGGCGACTACCTTTACAGCGAAGTTTCGACAATAAAAAAAGCTTCGAGAATATGAGGCTGTAATATGTTGCTGACACGGAAACCACACAACTTATAACGGCCACTTAATTTGCCCACGAACCTCACAATTAGGTGACTGGTTCGTAGCCGCAGTCATACATTTACGCTTTTCATCGGAGCCCAAAATCTCGTAAGCGAGCGACACCTTGAACCAAGATAAAAACAGTATTTTTCCGCAAAAGTAGATTCAAACAATTTTTAAGCAACGAGCAGATAGGAACAATAAGAAATGGTGCACAACAAGAAGAGAAGGTAAGCACTCCGGTAGATCTCAATATCATTCGAACACGTACCAAAAGGCGTTGTTTGGATGCACCTTATATTACAATTATAAAAAAGAGAAAAAGTTGACACGTAGAACTGGGAAGAGAGTAAAACATTTGTCGAATTACCTGATGGAATTTCGAGGCCGCTTCAGCTTGATTATCTCTGTTTCGATCCGGATGATACTTCTTCGACAAGTCATAGAAGGCTGCCTTGATTTCCTAAAAACCTCAGGGTACAAAACTAGCCTGGGAATATGTTTAATTTCTAAATATCGTAGATGTGCAAGTACGCAGTGACAATACAGGGTACTATGAGAATCTAGAAGTGAGCCCTAGGGGTGAAGGCTGGTCAATCGTCGCGTTCGGCCGATTTCAGAAATTTACAACCTCGCTATTCCTGAGTTTCTTACGAACCTCCTAGGCCGGCTGACAGCAAGCCCATAGCGCTTGACGAGGGGAGGGGATACCCTAATACGAGGAAGGGGTCACCCCGTCCCTCCTACGATAGGGTGTGCTGCAACCCGCCCCTAAAAGCTGCCAGTTAAAATGTATTATGCTTCGTGAGCAGTAAACCATAACCCCTCATTCTCTGCGTCACAGCTCTGGCTTTACAGCATGCAGCTTTTATGTTAGAAGGTGGTGGAGTAACATCCTAAAAACGGGCATAACTTTCTAAGGAACTGATATTTTACAAAACTGTGAGCAGATTGAGTTTCTTCCATTTTGAGCTTATAACTTCAAAGAAATTGTGCTTCCTACTTTCAGAAGTCATATCTCCTTCATATATGATCATGAGAGAAGGGGTAGGAGGATTTGACAAACTTAAATCCTGTCTCTTTGAGCTGCAGCAAAACTTTCCTAAATGTTCATTTATCGGAAGTAATGGCACTTTTGGATCTTGTTTTTATGCAAAGCGAGTTTTCGAGCTTTTAACCTATGTGAACTTCTCTATCTGGATTCTGTGGAGGCCATCTTATGTAGTCTCTGGAGGCCATGACGTGGAAAGATCACAAGAGCATGATTTTTCTAACGAGGCCTTATACGATCGCTGAAATTCATTTCCTGCAAAATTCGCTCCTTCCCCTCCCCCTCTCCGAAACTTTTTCAACTTTTTCAGAGGTGTCTGATGTTGAGTACCTTTTCTCCGAGCTTCGTGAGCGAGTTTTCGATATTTCAATGATCAACATCCTCACGATGTTAATGAGGAAGGAAAGGCTTCGCCTAAACCTGCAAATGGTTACTTTAGCTAATAGGTAGGAAAGTTGCATAATTTCGATGATACACCGTGCCAAACTCCTTGTGAACGCTTTCTCTTTGAGTCTCAAGAGCGATCTTCCACCTTGCCCTAGGGGTCGAAGAACGTCTGAATCCTGAATTGATCTGTTCGTTCACGCAATAAGCCACATTCGAACGTTTACCACTAATAAGTGAGATGCTCCCGCACTGGGACGCGGCACGAATCCGTGGTTTCGAAGTAGCAAAAACAGTTGAAAACCTTTTCAGTTCTGTTACGGCACGTGAATGTCGGCCATTCCAGCCCTTCTTGTGCTACTGTTGGAGCTGAACCAAAAGGCGGCACCCCGCTTCTCCCCGTTTATCTCGTTTGTAAAAAAGGCGACATCCGCCACGGCCTTCAACCGACTGGCGTCAGCATTCACAACCCTCCCCCTTTGCTTGCGAGCTAAAAACGATCCGCCATGTTGACCGACCGAATGGACGGTTGATCCTAGGGGGAACTCTGAGGGTGCGTAAGCAGCTCTCATTTCCCTAGAGATCCCCCCACACTGAAGTGTTAAGCTCTGCTGTGGAAAAGAGAAATAAAAATACCTTCGAAGTAGCTCCAGGTTTGACTCCAAGCACAGCGTAGTAATCAACAACTGGCTCTGAAGCAAACTGACGACCACGGATTGATCCGGGTGCTATCGAGACCAACAGCCTGCGCGACATGTGCGATGTAGTAATGACTAGAGGATTTCCATGTATACAATCTGAAACATTGGAATACTCAAAGATTAACAGATTTCACAGCACCTATAACAATGCATCGGGAACTGTACGAGCTGATCGTGCAAAATTGCAACGGAATTTGGCCTGTAAACTTATTCGAATATAAAAATGGATGAGAATCCGGCGAAAATCTGCACAATTAGCAATAAAGAATGCAACTAATATAGCTGCTAAAATTTACTAATTTACTATAAACGAAAATTCAAAGCTTCAGAGGAACGTCTCGACCCTGTGGAAGGAAGAGTTTTGAATTCCTTCTACACGAAAGCAAAGATGTTCTATTCAACTGCAAAGTAACATAATCAACAGATGAACAGACACAAAACTAACGACAAAATTAGTTGAAGACCAAGAAGAGGTAACCCAAGAAGTCGTAAATTACATTGTCATGTTGCCCTATTCACGTGCCACACTAGACATTACGCCGAATACCTTGGTGATCAAATTAGGATGCCCGTCTATTCCTTTATGAATGTAATTTGTTGCATTGTACATGACACTCTGTCTCTCGCTACGAGGTACACGACGTGGCACACGTGGCTAAATTCTCGCTAAGACGGTGTTAAGTGAGTTGCGAGGGGGGGAGGGACGCGGTGCGCGCGTCTGTCAAGAAAATGGCACTGAGCCTGAGCCTAGAATGAGGCTCAAATGTGCCAAAAGTCAATCACAAATCATAATGTTCACAGCTACTCCACTCCTTCGTAGGCTCAGGCTTACTCCCATCGCGCTTGAGAGGCGACGCTGCCGCGTGGTTGTCTGGTTACCTCCCCCCCCTCAACTTGATCGAAAAGACGATATCTCGCATGCTTCAAAATTGTTCGATGCCACGTCATTTTGCGCAGTTGCACTGCACTTGGGTACGTGAGACAAAGTACATAAAAAGACAAAGTGTGGGTGTCAACGGAGAGTTGTTCAGATCGTGGGTCAAATCCGCACGAACTTTTGTTGCGCAGGGGATTATAGGGGGTTGAGGGGCACTCTAGAGCCAGTGTGAAACGAGAAATCCGCTGAATTTAAGCGGAATGTGCGAATTAACTCTATTCCGCTCAGAGGACGCGAACATGGCGCGCGCCGTGGCGGCTGCCGCCTCCCTGGTCACGTTACCATTTGTAGGTATGCTTTGGTAGATGCAGCTGAGCCAGGATTCAATCGTCAGTTGGAATTTTTCCTTAGGGGAGATTTGGAGGGACAGGGGAAGAAGCAGGTTTCCCAGAGTTAAAAAATTCTTTACGAATCAGAAAATTTCACACACTTGTTGTCATACTTATTAATGGCACTATCTCAACTGATAACTACCCTTTGAGCTCCAGTCAAACAAATCACGTTGCTATCCTTTACACCGCATCTTTACAACTCCTGATCTTTCGTTTTTTCATCATCACTTTGAGCGCGGAAGATACCGCGTTTGGCCACATTGAGTGGAGGATAGTGATGGAAAGAGGGGTACCCCCAGGAGGCCCGTCGCGCGGCAAGAAGGCAAAGTCAGCGGACGAGTCGCGCGCGTACTATAGGGATTTCGCGTCAAGTTAAATAGAGTGTCCCACTGCACGTCCTACATCGCACACCACGCGCTGCAACTCGTCCGCCGACTCTGCCTTCTTGCCGCGCGACGGGCCTCCTGGGGGGGGGGCGGGGTACTTGGAAAGATTTTTTACTGACCATGAGTTACCCGAAGCCGCAGTCCACTTCTCATTCCCAAGTATTTTCTGTTCGAAACGACTGGTAGCTTTGATCGGTAACGTATGACTCTGTTACATGCCAACTTCTACGGCGGACATACACAGACAATGGGACAGACAAACCCTCTACCCTCATGACAACCCATCGTCCCGAGTTTCAACTGGCTTATGCTTTGGAAGTAAATAGATTTACTGTGGAATTATGCTCGTACACAATATGTACTGTAAGATGACTCGGAGCGAGCAGTAGCAGTGTGGTCCCTATCAACTGTAGCACAGAGACTACAAAAAATTTAATACACTGACATTCTCACGGGCTTGAAGGCTGTGATCACGATGTTTGGAGGCGGTACTACTTTGACGACGTCCTTAAGCGTCATTGGTGGACCCTTGCAGTACGTAAGGGTGGGTTGAGACGCCTTGATGCCCTCCTCCAATGCGCTGAGACAGCCCTTACATTGGTCGCGTTAGCTCTTGCGATTAGCAATTAGCGCGATGTCGCTCTGCCTTAGAGCGATTTGGCATCGCTCCAAAGTGCGAGCGACGGGAGATTTACCCCGCGACCGATACACACGGCGCCGCTCGGGTAAATCTCCCGTCGCTCGCACTTTGGAGCGATGCCAATCGCTCTAGGCAGAGCGACTGCATCGCGCGATGCAATCGCAGAGTCTGACCGACATCTTAGTGCCCTCTTGAATCCGCACCGTCTTCCAGCCACCGTGACCATTGCCTTTAATTAGGATCACAGCAAACGAAAGTATTCTGTGAGGTAATCTCGTTTTGGAAAACGAAAGAAAAACGTCACGTAAAGAATTTATTGAGCTCTAAGCTACAGTCTACAACGTACAATTTTGCAATCAATAGACCATGTCAACAGAAATTCGAGATGGGAAAACGAAACACCGATTTAGCGTTCAAAAACTTCATCGGTATAGATACTCTGCTTGTATATTGGCTGCCAACTCAGGTTCCCAGCGGTCACCATTTGTGAGCAGTTTTTCCTGAAATACAACTAATAATATGCTGTCTCCAACCAAAAAAGGCAGTTATCAACCTTGTTATAGATCAGTTCTTCATGTGTCTCTGTTGAGTACTCGAAATTTGGTCCCTCAACGATGGCGTCGACAGGACATGCTTCCTTGGCATAATCCACAGAAGATGCACCTTGAATGTTCGAATAATCATTAAATCACGTAATGAAGAAAAAGTTTAGCATTGATGGATGAATTCCCAAAGTCTAAGTCTCCACAAAGGTGACCAGTTAGAGCCGAGCACTGTTTAGTCGGGAACTTACTCGCCTGCTGTACCTGCTGTACAAAGTAGCAGAGTCAAGTTCCAGATGCATCAAAATTATCCCTTTATACTATAGGGAAAAAAGCCAAGAAAATGACATGAATATGGACCAAGACGGACAAAACTCGCATCACTCAAACGGGTACCCGACAGGAGGCCCGTCAGCGACATAGACAGGTCAGCGAACGAGTTCACTCAGATCCACTTACATGTTATTCATTATAGGACGCCCACATCGCACAGTACGCGCTGCGACTCGCCCGCTGACTCGTACGACTTTTCGCCGCGTGACGGGCACCCCAACTAAATGTAACCCAGTCCAACATGGGCGAGCAGGCGCCGAAATGAGCGATCAAAGGTAGAATTTTTTGATTTGGTTCAAGAATCGGTCGGACTGAAATAAGGGGAAAAATGGTGAAGTGGTGCACAGGGTCGCGTAGTGTGATGGAATCCACCCAAGGCTGATGTCAGACTTTGCGAATCGCGCGATTCGCAAAGGCTGACATCGGCCCAAGGTTGCTAAGAGTACCACGAATGGGCGATGCTCATCCATGAATTCACAACCTGGTTTAGGGTAAATGCACAAAAATCGGCGAGATGAGCAGTGCCCAAGCTTTACAAAGCATACTTGAACCAGGCTCAACAGTGGGATACAGCCGATTTTCAAAATTTTTCCCCCCGCCTTCTTGTAGAGGTATCGAAAACGATACTTTCTCAACGTCAATACGAGTTTACCTCCATAGCTAGTTTTTAGGCATATCTCTATTCTAGGACGTCGACCATATGTTCTTCAAAACCACCGTCAGGAGGGCATGGGCCTGACCCATCAAGAAACGGCAGATGGTCTGGTCCTGTCCAGTTCATATTCCTCTCAGTTTTTTTTTCCAAATTTTCGAAAAAAAAAACCTGCAAACACTACCCTTCCAAAAATACGATCTTTTCACAATCGTCAACCCTACTGCGACCACTCCAAAAAATTGTGAACAACCCTGCTCGATTTGGTTCAGCGTTACGTTAACGCTGACTAAATGGCATGAGTCGCTGTAATGGGCGAGGTTCTTTGGATGGGCATTAAACACGCTATGTTTGTGTACGGGTTTACAAGCCTGCATAATCGTTCGAGAAAATCGGGAAACGGGAACCGTAAGGAAAAAGGGTGTCATTGATGCGGACATAATCAAGTGGGCGGCCTTATACTAGACTTACAATTCGTTTCCGAGACAGCTGAGAGATCACGAAAAAAAGTGAATGAGGGCTGGCGAAGGAGGGGATCAAATAATAGTGGTGGGTACAATGAGCTTTGAGTTTGTGGATGTCACGAGGCCATATAATTCTAGGACAGGACAGTCAGAGCCAGGAAAGATTGATGAGGCAGCAACGCGCCAAGTGCATTGGGCGGAGCTAAACTCCAGAATTCTGGACGCCGCCCCCATATTGCTATGAAGCTCTGTTGTGCGCGCGACGGCATGTGGCGCCAACTGGTGGGTGATAGATTTTGACATAGGCTTACAAAATCATTCGTAGAACACTTTTTCTCGTTTTCTTTTCCTATGTCAACCTTTGAATTAAGTTTCATCGCTTGCAACTTAGGGTAGACAAACCGTACGAAACTACTATGGCTTCAGCGCACGTCACTTATTCGTGTCGAGATCATATCGAGTGGCACGTCGACTGCCATCCGGACGTGTTTCCGCCTCAATCGTTATCGCCTTAAAATGATATTTTATTCCAGAGCATGCACAAGATTAAGAAAACCTGAACATTACTATCAATCTCTGCGAACCTGTGCAGGGCAAATGGCCTCACACAATTTACAGGCGATGCAGCGCTCTTCACCCGAAGGGTAGCGCCGAAGAGCATGCTCCCCCATGGAACAGTAGAATGTACTAAAAAGGCTTGATTATATAATGGGATTATGCCTGCACTACTACTAATAACAAAAATTATCTGAAACAACCTGAACCGGGAGCTGAGAGGGCCTTTTTCAAACGGGTAGTTTATTGTGGCAGGTTCCATGAAAAAGTGCCCAAGCATGACGCCAAAACCTGGGAATTGCATTTTAAACCCAAGTAGGAAAATCGGCGCTAAGCTCAATGGCTACCATATCATTTGCTGAATTGTAAAAGATACCTCGAAACATTTCAGTAAAGAACAGGGTATGAAGCCCATAGTTAAGGTCACCGGCAAATGTTCCATCAGTTTCCGCAACCATACCAACGTATTTGTAATTCGTACGTTTTTGCTGAAGCGCAGCGCCTGTCACCGCCGGCTGAAAACATTGGCTAGATAATGAGAATCGTTGAGATTTGTCATATTACCTTGGCACACTTACTTTGGGAACTCGACCAAATACTCCTTTGGTAACTACTCCAAGCGATTTCATCGCCATGGTCACCTGCGATTCTAATTAACTTATAAAAAACTAGAACAAACACCTGAACGTGCGGTCGCGAAACAGTCAACTCAAAATTGTGTTCTCCGATGCGCTGTTTAGGAAGAATTTCAGTCAAGGGTGCACAGCCAGCATGGTGACACTAACAGGAGGGGTCTTTCAGGACATGGAGCTTTTCAAAATGGTTTTTAATGTTGTAGAGGCTCATGTGAGGAACACAGAACCATGGTCCATTTTTCCTGAACGCCCCAGGAATGTCAAAACAGCGGGAAGAAATGGTCCAAAGTTCGATCCTCCGTGATGACAAATTTTTGCAATTTATGTTGGCGCCTCCAAATTGCCGCAAAACACGACAATGACATCTATTCTCGACGATGGCGCTTAAAAAAAATGTTTTGGAAATAAAAAAAGATTCCGAAAAAATGGAATGCGGGTCGTGTTCCTCGCATGAGTCCTGTTTCCTCGCAGAACACAAATATGTAGAAAAACATTTCGAGGGCGAGAAAAGCGCTTCATGTCCTGAAAGACCTCCCTTGTGCTTCTCGAGCATGCGAGCCTCTTTCGGATTTCGCGATAAAAAAAACTGGTTCAAAAAAGCCAAATGTTCGGTATCATTTGTTAGAGCCTACTGTCACCTACTACTATAGTCAGAAGCTGAGGAAAAGGAATTGCTAAGTTGCGTGCTGTTTTCAAGGCGAGTAGGACCCAAACTACTGTTGCTGAGCTCCTGAACGATGTCTCCGTGTTTTTTGAAGACCGCAAGCACACTGACTGGCCCTCTACAAAATAGGATTAGTATTATCGAAACTAACGCTTATGTTCCGTTCTTTTTGCTATGCTCATGAGGCTAGGGGCCTTATCGTTTTTCTGTGGTAATGGAGGCGGAGCTTTTTCCGCGGAAGATTCCTTTAACATAAACTATGCTGTAGGTAGAGCATTCTGTTGCACAACTACACCTTCAAATACAGATAACAAAAACAGAAATGAGCAGTATGACAGAAGATAGTCAATACTAAAAGAATAATTGCTAATAGAAGAACAATCAGTTTCTAAACGCTAATTGTAACACTTGCACTGAGCGATATTACAAATTGACAAAAATTAAGATAATAAGGAAAATCACGATATTAAGAGAAATTAAGATAAATGTAAACACTCAGGCTAGTTTCCCTTTTGGCCCAGACAAACCGCATTTCTCAACGGCCCAGTTGTACTTGTACAGAAAGCCTTGTACTTGGATTTTTATGAGTTTTATGAGTTTTTATGAGTACAAACCAGCGCGCATCCACCTCGCTCGTTGCGACACTCTCACGCGTTTGTATGCCTCAGCAATCACAAACTAATCAATACGTATTAAAATCCGCTCAGCTCAGCAAAAAAAACTGCGTCAGGGCCATAACAATAAAGGGAAAGGACAGTTTGCTAGGAGAAATCAGACTGCCCTTTACTACGAAAAAAAAACATGGCTGTAGCCGGCGGCTTCAGCTGGTACGTTGCTGTATCGATCCGACGTTACGCGAACAGCGTAAAAAAACGAAGGCAAGGCTCAACCGAAACGACACTAATGTTTTTCACAATTGAAACACATCATTTTTAAAGCTCTCTTACACCCATTTCGATGTACAAAAGAATCAACTGGGAAAGCGGAAACAGACATGAAATTTTCACTCAACACAAAGGTTCAAAAAAATCCGACTCGCTTGAGTGCCCAATCTCATCTCTTGTAAGGCATGTGCTGATGCTAGTAGCACCTACATAAAGTTCTTAG